AACCCCTCCTTCACCTCCCAACCCTAAACCCTAACTATGCCACCAATGAGATACAAGTCGGAGACTGTCGACTTCAGCGAAGGCTCTCCTAACCCCTCCACCTCCCAACCCTAAACCCTAATCATGCCCCCAATGAAATACATGTCGGAGCCCATTCGAGAGGAAATGCAGCGAAAGATTTGTCGACTTCAGTGGAGGCTTGCGGATATTGAGGTTGAAACCTAGTGGGAGATTACCCTCTACCAGGATCTAAAGAATTAACAGAGAGCAAGAGAAGAAAATTTGAATCTCTTGCATATGGAGGACTTTGCTGATGCAAATGACCGGCCATGACACTTTGAAATCCTGTATCAGAGGATGTCAAGAGAAGTGTTTGCATATGAGTAACGAGAGAATTTGAAAATGAAGCGGGAGATACAACGTCAATTCCTACCATCTTACTACAAATAGAAACTTCAGACCCTAGCTTCAGAAGGGTAGAGACCACATAATTGAGCAACCACTCAATCTTACAAGCAGAGTTCAACTTCAGGATGTTACAACTAGAGTACACCCAGAAGAACATCCAAGACAACCCCGTCAGAGAAAAAAATTATTTGAAGTGGAGAACATATGAAACTAATCCGCATTCCTAAAATTTTCACAACTAGTAATTGTTACAAGTTCCACAGATTTGGGCATATGGAATCAGACTATACCAGGGGAGTGTTCTGTGTCAAGGAGTATGGTGTTCTTGAAAAATTGGGTAATGACACAGTAGTAGACTCTGATGACAGTGAGGACACGAAGCAAGAGGAGCATCCTTCAGTTGAAGAGATAAACGATGATCCAGAAAAAGATGCAAACTTCAGAGAGGATTCTCAATTTGCAGCCATTGAGGAAGAGACACGATCGATTCCAATTGAACCCAAGATAGAAATTCCAGCTGATGTACCAGTAGTTGTTCTAGAAGGTAGTGACTGATGTAATTAGCATTCTGGTAGAGTATGAGATTATGGTACCTCGAGCTAGCATTCTGCAGGCATTGAGGGAAGCATCAACAAGACTGTCTTTAGTTGTTTAAGGGGCAATGAGGTTAAGGAGCCGATATCAGGCACATGTAACCCTAAATTAAGAAATCCATACCCTTTAGATACATAGACTCATTGTTGAGTTGCCCCTATTAAGGGAGGTCCCACATGTCAGTGATGCAACCCACCCTTTTGTGTTAAGTTGAGAAAATTACAGAGCTCATATGTTAAATTTAGTTCAAGAGTCCATATGTTAGATTCAGTTCAACATGGTACCAATCATCAGATGTCGAACCCCAACCTAAAAATTTGTCTTGGGAACTTGATGGAGAAGGAAAATTTTCAATGGTATCCGGTTCTATTAGTGAAGGAGAGGCCTCTCCTTAGTTGTTGTTGGTGAGAGTGGTGCGGTAAGCCACATATTTCATCCCAAAGTTGATTTCTCCTCACATACTGATTTATCAGCTACATTCTCTTAAGTGTGAGTGGAAGAAGCAATGTATAAATGGGATGGCTCGATTCCTGATCGGTGAGAATACTAGTCTATCTGCAGTGTTAGCTCAGTTTGTGCCAAAAGAGGACGGATACTTATTTTTCCAGAATGTGCTTTGGAATGATAACACTTACTTGATCAACCTACCAAATGACTATAATATCTCTGTTACTTTCAGTTTAGCAAACTTGACTTCGTGATATGAGAAGCCAGAAGCTTTGACCAATGAAGTCAAAGTTTCCTTAACCCCATGAGATTGATGCAGGAGTTTTTTTCCCTAACAATTTTTCCACGGTACTGTAGCTATTACAGTACTGCGGGAAAACAAATAGTGTGAGACGGGATTCGGGCTGCCAAAATAGTCTAATTTTCCTTTCTTATTATTTCTTTTTTATTATCATTTGTTACTTTTTGGCGCTTTCCTATATATTTGTATATTAGGATTTGGATCAACTGCTTTTGGTGGGTTTTATTTTAGATTTCTATCAGGACAGTCGCGGGCATTCGTTTTCCTCTTCGAGGGTTGTATCCAAGGGATTAGATGATGTTCGAGTTGTATCTCTCTCCCAAGGTGGTGATTATCTTCCTTGTATCCCCTTTCGCATCTTCCTACCTTGCTCAATGTTGCCTTATCTCACTGCAACCACCCGCAATAGCTTGTCATTGCTGTTATCTACAGTTCCAGCCACCCCCATTGCCTTCTCCTCACTCGTCCTCGCCGCCCTTTCTGTCCCAGCCCTCCACCTTCGCTGCTGCAGCATGCATTACCTTCTTTTTGTTGTTTTCCTGTTGTCCAACATCTCCAAATTGTAACATGCTACTGTTTGGACTACTACTCCATGTTGTCTTGTTGTTCCAGTTGCCCATAACCTTTGTCAGCTCTCATCCATAGTCTGGGAACCCCTTCCCACCTTATCACCGCCTCTCTGTGCCCCTTAACCGTCATTGCCATCACCCGGGATCCGCCCTAATGCGAGTTATGTCGTGTGTTGTATTTTCACTTTCAAGTGTTTTAATTGTAACCATTTATTTTCTTCCAATAATAATATTTATTATGGTTTGGGTTAACTCCGATATGATTTGGTATCATAGATAGCTCAACCTTAGTCATATCCTAGAGTTTCCTAGTATCCGCTTCTACCCAAGCCAGCCCCATCAAAATTTTCCTGCCCTAAAAGCTTCGACAAATGAGGTCAAAATTCTCCTAACCCTAGGAGATTGACTCGGAAGCTTATTGGCCTGAATTGGCCTGATGTATTGTAGTTGCTACAGTGTCGCGGGCCAGCCCTTCTCTCCCCCTCCTTTCCTATTCCATCCCCTTTCCTATTTCTATCCAATTGCAATTCATTCATATTCTATTGCTTACCTTTTCTATCCCCTTTTGTTATTTCCATTTATTTCCAATTGCAATTCCTCCCTATTCATTACATACCTTTTCTGCAACCTTCCACTCCTATCCCAATTTCAAATTCCTTCTTGTTTCTTTGTTCTAGCATCTTTTATATTATTGTGTTTGCTTAGGGTGGGCAGGTTTTTGATGATTGTTGATTTCAGTTGCTGCCTTTGAGGCGTTCTTCCCCTCTTGTGGTTGTACTTGACGACGAGAAAGTGTTGCGGTTGTAACTCATATGAAGTGGAGATCGTCTTCAATGGTCTGGGCGGTGCTCCGGCTGTAGCTTGACTCCGGAGAAACATTTATCCTTCCTCAGCCCCCTCCAACCCCTCTTTCAGTAGATGTGAATAATATTTTCTGATCTTGTAAGCAGCCACAAGCCATCTTCCAACCATCTTCTCATCACCGTCCAGGCCTCTAGGCTCTTTCCTGTTACTGCCAAGTTTTTCCAGGACAGTTCTTGTTGTCGTCGACCCCTCTAGGGTTCGTACCTGTTGCGAGCAGCACTCCGACACCTGTTCCTGCGGCTGTCCAATCTACCCTCACCTCGTCCAGCTGTTGTCCAACCTTTGGACACCTGTTACTGTTGTTGTCCAAGCCCACCACCACCTGCCTGTTGTTGTCTAGGTCCACTGCAACTCCTCTTCTGTCTCTTTCCAGTCACCACACATTCCCCCTTTATTGTTGCTGAAAAGACCTCTAGCCCTCTTCCTGTCATTATCCTCAATTCCCAAAACTGCCACCATTTGTTCATCATCATCTTCCAGTCTACCGCCGCTCTCTTTTGGTCTTACTGAAATTGCCGCTCTCCCTAGAGATAGTTGCTTATGTGTTTTGCTTTATTTTCTTATTTTTTGTAGGGTTGTCTTTGTCCTTTCCGTTTGCATGTTTGTATTGTTTATGTTGAGTTGTTGCAAGCTATTTGAATTTTAGCAATAATATTTGTATTTCCATTGTGGTTTAGGTTAACGCATATATCAGAGTTCGACTTCGTTCTATTTGAGAGGTTGCACAATCTCTCCCACTCAAGTAGCTAACGACCTCTTTTCTTAACCCAAAAGCATTCACCAGGCAAATAGGATTCTAGTGGTGGTTGCTACCTTGTAGCACTTTGTCTCATCTTGGGTTCAAGAGGTGGCTCTCATGGCGTAATGCTTTATTCTATAGGACATAGTTCCCATCTTCCGGTTGTTGTAATCCTTTGATACCATTTTTATTAGGCTACCCACTTATCGAGATATTGCCTGCATTGGCCTAATGGCCTCACAGTTTTGCCCAATTGGTGTAAATTTATAGGATGTCAACCATCTGTTAGAAATAACGAGATCAATTCCCAATTTTACTGTGCCTTATGATTAATTAGAAACAAATCTTATGATTAATTAGAAACAAAAGAACAACACAAAATAACAGGTTCACACAAGTTTTGAGAAAAAAAAAACTGTAACAGATCTAAATGGAAGCACAATCAAAGCAACCAAAAAAACACATGAGAATTTTATGTGGAAAAACCTGAGAACGGGAAAAAAACTACAGAGTCACACCATAAGAAAATTTCACTATGAAATTCATAAAGTTTTGCAAAGAGCTCACACCAGGTGAAGCCACATGTAATTGCACTAAAAAAACCACGGTGGAGCTACATGTGTCTCATATGTGCCAACATGAGCATGGAAGGCATTTTGAAGGTCTGTGCTTCATAGTTGTTGCTTTTATGAGTAGTGAATCAACTTACCATAATTCCGCTATGTCGGACCTGTGATATGTTTAATTTGTTTTGTTTGAAGTGTTTTCTTTTATTTTTCCATTTTAATTGCATTTATGATGTTGGTATGTCAAGTTTATTTTGTCAACTTAGCTAGTTTGTTTTAACATTAGTGCTTGCAAGCGATTGAAATTGAGTTATACTATAATAAAGTTTAATAAGGTGAATTCTAGAACTATGTATCTTTTCTTAGAAAAGTTGGGCAGATATAGATGTAAGTGTAATTTTTAAATTTAGCTTTTCTTAGAAAAGTTCGGCAGATATAGATGTAAGTGTAATTTTTAAATTTAGGCTGGTTAAAATGTGCAGTGTAAATCAAAGTGCACCCAACGAATCCCATGGTAACCCACGGCCCTCCAACCCGGTTTCTCTGCTGCCCAACGTCAAGGTGCGAGCAATGGCTCCCAAGAAGCTGCAGAAGGGCAGTGGGAAATCCCACTCAAAATCGAAGGGGCATACGTCGGTTACCAAGTCCGCTCCAACGCTACAGATATCGGCGGAAAATGAGCGCCTCCTTCGCCGCCTCCTTCTCAACACAGATTTACCACGCTCAGACGCTGCGCCGACTGCGCTCCCGCTCCCTGTCGCTGCCTTTGAAACCTCTGGAACCCGCGCTCAGAAGGCCAAAAGGCTTCGCGGTGTCTATGACATGCTATCTCTGGAGGGTTTCACCTCCGATCAAATAGAGCAAGCCCTCTCCGCTCTCAACGTTTGATATTATTTACCAACTCAGTTGCTTTTATGATTTTTGTTTATCAATCAGGTTATGTGTCCTTATGCTCTGATCGCTGATCGCTTGATTCTTTGATTAATTTACCTTGGATTTACAGGAGGCAGCTACGTTCGAGACTGCCTTGGACTGGCTATGTTTGAATATACCTGGAATTGAGCTTCCTCAGAAGTTTTCTAGCGGGGCAGCATCTTCCACAAATGAAAGAGGTTGCATCATGCTTTGTTGCATTGGTTACTTAATTGCATTTCCAACTCCATCGAAATATAAAGTCATTAAGACTTGCCCCCAAACGATTAGGGCGAGTTTTCTGAAAAAACTTATTTTTCATCCATTCATCTTGAGTGCTAAATTAGGTTTTAAAGCTCTTATATGCTAGCCTTTTTGCGCATGTTGATGTATTATGTTTAAGAGTCTGGGTTAAATAATGTATACGATGATGAGATGCACTTGAAAAGCACGAGAAAAACTCTCAACTTTTATAAATTAGTAGCCTTAAATGCAAAAACAATCCTAAGGAGTAATATAGTAATATGAGAATTCCCATATTTTTTAATTTTACCATTGTATGTCCTGAAAGCCTGCAGCTTTTACAGGAAAGAAGAGAATGCAATATCAAAAAGGTAAAAGGGGAAAAGAAGATGAGAACATTATTCAGTTTGTAATTCCAGAGTAGATACACTGTAGGTGTTTATAGATAGAAAGATATATGCATAAAAAAGCTAAACACTGAGTGCAAAATACATATAGGTATTCAAGTTTCTGTGGTCCCCATCTCTTGAGAATAAGAGTCATATCCTTTATCATGTCCATCATACTTTTATTTTGACTGATTTCTTGATTGCTAAAATCTAAAATCTATATGATATAATTTATTTAAATATAAATTTACAGAATTTACCTGTAAGTTTGTATGATATTTTTTATCGGATGTTATTGCTTGACACAATTTTTTTTTGTTTTACTTAGTTTAAATTATGGAAGTTATGTTTCAATAATATACCATCTTTTATGATATTTATAGTGACTTTTAATTCCCACACTCAAGTATAACTTGATTTTTTTTTAATATTGATATATGCATTGTTACTGTGATTGAAAATTTTTTGATTTCTCTGAAACTACTTCTAATGTTAGGGGCTACTTCAATTTATATATTCTAATAATTATAACACTGGCTTGTTGCCAAATTTTCTACTTAATGCACATTAAATCAATTATCATGGTATTTGATCATAAAATTTTCTCATGACTGATAAGCTTTGAAAATCCCTTTCTTTCCATCCACGTGTTTCCATTAATTTTCTCTAATACAATCAACTGTGTAGTTTATCTCTTGAGCATAAATGCGAGTCTACAACTTAGCACCAACTTTATTTATTTTGCCTACATTCCTTTGTTTTTCACCATAAAACTTCGTTATATGACTGGAATATTTGATCCACCTAATATTGCCACGCTTTAACACCTTATTTGGTATTAAATGCATCATCACCAAGTATTTGACATTATGTTAATCTTTGTGATATCATTGAATATTTGTGACAACACCATTCTAATATCTCTCTTGATTCTCCCAATCATAATTGATATCATAGCTGAATGTAAAGTCTTAACTTCATGTATCTTCTTTAAAGTCAAGTCAATTTCAAATTTTGAGTTCAATCTATTACTTTTTTTTTATTTTTAACTTTTCTAAGATATACTTCTTTTAAAATTCTCATTTAATGATTATTAAAATATTATTTACGTTGTTTGGATTTCTTGGCTTCAATTATAATATTATTTTATTCTTTTTAATGCAAATACTTTCATCAAAATATTTTCATTTATTCACTTGGCTCAATCATATTATGTTTTGTTAATGTTTTATTGTTTGGCTAGAAGTTTGAATATCTATACACTCACTCAATATTTCTTTGACAGATTGGTCAGTTAGAATCATATCCACTGCACGTGAAAATTGGGTTCCTACTAAAAGTTTTATAGAGGAAGTGAAGGAGGGCACTTCTAGAGTTTTTGTTCGAAGTAAAGGGAAACTTGATGAGGAATATTTAGATTTTGGAAAATCCTCACAAGCTGAGTGGGTTCGACAATATTTGGAGAAACAGGAAGAGGAAGAAGAAAATGAACACGAGGAGAAAGAGAAGGTATGTATAGATTGGATTACTTTTTCTTGCACAATGGCGTTAATCTGTTTCAATAACAGTAAAATGTTTGCCCACTTTATCTTGTGTAGCTTTTTTTTATGGCACCTAATGCGTGCAAGAGAATTCACGGTGATAGAGTGGTTAAATAACGTCTTACCGTTGCACTAGAACCTAACACACTCAAATAATAAAAAATGACTCGTAGAAATATAAGGAATTTTACGTGGAAAATCTGGAAAGGGAAAAAATAATTGGGCCTGTCCCAGTTCAAGAGATCCAGTATGAACTGACGACTGCAGGTACAGTCCCTTGTGTCACTGGTGAGAAAGTGTTACATAGTCTCTCGAGTTACAACGTCGGTGCGTAGAAGGACTTGTAGCTCCGCGGTAGAGAGAAGTCATAAGGAGTAATGGTTGGAGTTTCAATACACTGTCTTCAGGGTCTGCACGACATACATGATGATGGTGTCGCTTTGTAGGCTGCTTTGTATGGCGCTTAGTTACAAGGAGTAGGAGACAGTGAATGATGGTTGATAGTGGCTGGCGGTGGCGACTGTGACGGTCGAAATTGCTGGAGGCAACGACGATCAAAGTTGGCCAGAGGCGACGGTGGCCCGAGTCGGCTAGAGGTGTCGGCGACCCTAGTTGGCCGGAGCCAATGGCGGTCCGAGTTGGCTGGAGGCGATGACGTCCGAAATTGGCTGGAGTCTGCGACAACCGGAGTTGGCCGAAGAGC